TAGGGAGGTAGGAGGAGGGGGTGAGGATAGCGCCGCTGTCCACGGACCGATTCGACGGTTTATACATCGACGGATAGCTGCATTTGACAGCTTTCCGACGGTGTATGAACCGTCGGAATCGGCGGATAATTGGTGGAGATATCAGCCAGGGAGTGCTGCAGTGGCTGAGCACTGCTCGCCCTCCCTGACTGAATCACCGCCATGTGCGGCCTTGCGAATGCGTCGCCCTACATGTAGTATATGTTAGCTACAAAACGAGCCCTTACAGAAGGGAATACACCCACAGTTGGTCGAGTTGGATGGTACAGGCCTGCCCCTGAGGTGGGGCAGGCATCGCGTCGCAACCGCTGGACGGATTTGCGCGCGCGAGGGCTCGTTCGAACCGCGTGGTGAGCCCGATCCTGGGGGTATTCCTTGCGTGGCGCCGCGACAACATATGGGCGAGATATCGCCCGATTACTGCGCACAAGGGGGCTGGTTAGTACTTGGGTAGCGCATGGAACGCGCACCTGATAAGCGGCGCGTTTGCGACGTCTTGTTCGCCCTAAAAATGCGTTCAGAACGCGCCCAGAATGAGCCAAATCGGTGCATAAATGAGTGAGCTAGGGGGTGTACAATTACCTGGGTGTAGTGGTCAAAGGGAGAAATAACCGCCGGAAGCCCGAGGCTATCGGGAGGCCCGGGGGGCGCGGGAGATAAGGGAAACTGCCTAATCAGTAAGATTAGGTCGTTATCTATCCAGATTGGGCCTATCTGTTATCTCCCTAGAGATAACAGGCCTCCCCCGGGGCTGCCTGCCTTTCTAGGTAATTCCCGGAGGTCCCCCGGGGCTTCGTGACACGTCACGAACCTTGACGGTTCGTTATGCAAAACAGTCACGGCGGTTAAACGGTTCGTAACAGTATTGTGTTACAACATATGGTGTTCGATCGTCCGACGCCGGCGCGTTCGTACCCAGTCACCGAGCTCCCGACACCGCTGCCGTCTCTGTTTTTCTCAATATGTACCTTTCCTCTGTATGGTGCCTTGTGGCGCCGACCCGAATGTAACGCTCCCCACTCATTCAAGCCGTCATCATCAGGAAAAGCCAAATCCTCCAGACGGAGACGCCCGACTCCAGCGCTCCAGGGGCCTCCATATGGAGACACGTTCTCCATCCCTGCGACAAACCTCATCTCGCGCTTGCTTCGACATACGAGCTCATAGATCTGGCCTTCCGTAGGCCGGCCGCAATGAATTTAATTGTGAGCGGGGAGGGCGTCGTTGGTGAGTCGTGCGGGGAAGCCGTGGGAACGCCTCCATAGGCTCCATATGGCCGCGGATGGAGACAGGGTGTCTCTGCATATTGGGGGGGAGTCTCCAGCGCTCAATCCAACCACCTGTTACCATATAGGGCCCCTGGTTCCTGAGGTCATTCCTGATGATCGTCCTGAGTTCATGAACAAGAACGTCCGACCGGGCCATGCTTGCAATGCTCGGTATTTTACTATGACCGCCGACAACCAGTATGGCCCATTTAAAGGAGGATCTGAGTCGACGACAATTGACACACGCCACACGCCGGTCCACGTCCAGTGAGGCGGAAGCGCCGGAGTGCGGGAGTAAGTGACGTAAGCGGCCTGACTGCAAGCGCGGTCGCGTTGTTCGATCTATGCGTAGCGGTAGCCTTTGCGCTTGTTGGTGGTCATTGCCAAGATGGACAGCGTGAGCATTGCGGCGGGATACTGGCCGGACGTACATGATAGCGGACAAAACTGTAATAGAGTACTCGATATGCGAAAGAAAACGGGTGAAGGCCCTCGACCGCCGACCGCGCGGTGAGGCCCTCCGGCGCGGAAGCACGTGTCTCCAAACCTGTGGGGAAATCGAGAGTCAGCCGTGCGGGTGGGCGGGCGTAAAGCGGTCGCGTTCTAGGGAGAGGAGGGAGGGTGAGTGCGCTGCTGAATCGAAAGGGGAGAGGTTCGTGCTCCGACACCCAGATGAGAAAAGGGGGAAAGGAAAACGAGATTGGGGAAAAGGAAAGATGATAGGGAAGCCAGGAGGCGGGTGGAGAAGAAAAGGGGGAAGGGAGGGGGGGGGAAAACGAGGGAGTTGAGCCGCAAACAAGGCGAGCCGTTGAGGTGGAGGGCCGAGATCGGCTGCATGCGGGTGAACGAAGTCGCCTGGACACGACTCGACGTCTGAGTGGCGCAGGATTCACACCGAGCGACGTGAGGGTGCATCAGATCGCAAAACGCGCTGCGAATCGCGGCCCGAAGCGCGTCCTAATTGAGAAGGATGAGTGATCAGCGAGCGCACTACTTGTACCGCGGCAGCTGCCAACGCGACCGCAGGACTCACCCGCGAAGCGGCGCGACCTCTTCTCTACTCGTCCGTCATGCGGGATTCGACGCTGACTCGCACCTCAATCCTGGGGGGATGGCCCTTGATGCCGACGGGAATAGGCAACGGCATGCGGATGGCCTTTATCGCCAGGTCGCGCCACGGAGGAATCGGGTCGGTAAGTGTGAGCCTGCCTCGCATGAGGTCCCAGAGGGCGAGTCTGCTGATGCGAGAGCGGGATGTGGGGGCTTGAATGTAAACCAGGTTGAGGGGAAGTTGGAGGCATTCCCCCCGAAACTCGGTCACCTCTGCGCCTCGAAGCCGGATGGTTTTGAGCGTAACCAGGTATCTCGAAAGGACAGAGTCGTCGCTGCGGTCGAGGACGAACATAAGCAGGCGATCGCCGACGCCAATCTTCCCGGTGTGGAGAACGAAGGATGAGATGTAGTATGTGTCAGGTAGGTTGTCCAAACCGCCTGCTCGAGCATAGGCGGAGACCTGCACGAAAGAGGAGTCGCAAGGTGGAGCGAAGACGACGTTAGCGTTCATGGCTGGGGGGTGCTCGAGGACTCGGAAAGATTCAATGCTGACTATTTAAAACAGACGGGTTGCTACGTCGGTGTCTCGCCCGACTCGGGCGCAGCAGACTTTGTCACTAGTGTGGGAGGGCCGGGCAAGCGAGGGGAAAATATAGGGCCACGGCAGATTAATAAGATGAAAGAAAACGCTAGACAATCGGTTGCGAAGCGAGAGATGAGAAGGACGTAAGTTAGGTACGCGAAAGTGATTCTTCGAACGAGGGTGGGCGGGTGGGTTTTGTAAAGCAAAGTGCAAACACGGGGAGCAGAGGGCGACGGGCGCAGAGGAGGAGATCACGGAGAGAGGCGCCCGTCGTCCCTCCCGCATAGACTCCGCTCGTGACGCGTGCTCGTTCCTCGCGCGCTTCAGAGCGATCATCTATGCGTAGCGGTAGCCTTTGCGCTTGTTGGTGGGCATTGCCAAGATGGACAGCGTGAGCATTGCGGCGGGATACTGGCCGGACGTACATGATAGCGGACAAAACTGTAATAGAGTACTCGATATGCAAAAGAAAACGGGTGAAGGCCCTTGACCGCCGACCGCGCGGTGAGGCCCTCCGGCGCGGAAGCACGTGTCTCCAAACCTGTGGGGAAATCGAGAGTCAGCCGCGCAACCCACATGACTAGGAGCACTGAGAAGAAGCGACGCAGACGTGGCACAACTCGCGTGTTCCCCAGATCTAGGAGCTTGCGACGGAAACCGACTCACCCGATGAGCTTAACGCACAGGTGGGAGCTGCAGCGTCAAACGGGACATGGCCGCTAACAGATCAGGTTGATCTTGCATGTATGGGGCCAGGACCTGGGCGTGCTTCCTCAGGTACAGTGCGAAGGAGTCCCCCTTCCAGCGCCCAATTGCATTGACAGTCTCGAAGGAGAGCCCCCGCAACAAGTACTCGAGGGTCCCTCCGATGCGCATGCTGTGGCCATGGACGAGCGGCAGGGAAGCCGCGGTGATCGCGATGCGAAGGCGGTTCATAAACCTCCATTTGGAGAGCGGGACTCTGTCAACTTCGCTCGGTTTGCGCCGATACGCGAAGATGTGTTTCGAGGGCGAGAGGTCGTTGATGTGAAGGTGATTGTCGAGTGCGCCCCAAGGGTCTATGACGGATGACTGTCCAGCCCCTGTTGTAGTTTTAATGTATTATAAACCGTTTATATGCCTGCGGCGCATTACATTATAAACCGTTCGTGTTCGTAATGTATTACGAACACCCCGGGTGTCGCGGAGCTAGACTCGACGCGACCAGGCAACGCCTACAACAAAGAAACTAATACAATCTAACCCAAGGGCGGCGAGCGCGAAGGCTTGCTAACGCCGAGCGTAGACTTTCAAGTCAAATCTAGCCCAAGGACCAAGTTAATATTATGCTGACTAAGAGAATACAAAGGACGGCTTACCTAGCCCAAGGACCAAGAGGTCAAGATGAGGGCTAGGGTCGCTACAGGTGGGGTTTATATACTGAGTCAGGGGAGCCAAACATGTACAAACGTAAAGGTGGTCTGTGCGCACATTAGTGCCAGTCTGCAGGTGGGGGTCAGGTGACTGGTCACATGCTTCTAACTACTGGTTCTAAGTCTAAGTGTCGTACAAATGGCCGTAGAAAATAAGGAAAAATGCGGAAAAATATAGGGGTCTCGTCGTCTCCACGACATTACCCCCCTCCTATTGTCCATCGTCCCTGATGGACCCACGGCCCGGGAAGCATCCGCTCTCCCAGTCGCGGTCCGGTGGTGTAGCCTCTGTGAA